TGTAAATATTGCGTCAAAATCAAATCAATTTGAGCGTGATTTAAACCCGGATAATTGTAACCAAGTTCGTCTACCTTGGGAAAGCTAGCGCGTCTCTCGACATAGTGATAACACTCGTTGACTTCTCTAGTGCAGCTCAACCAGGTCTCGTCCCATTCATCAATATTTGTGATATCACAAATCCCGGAAAATATGCGTTGTTGTCCAAACGAGTCGTTCGTTGTAGTTTTTGAAAAGTGATTTCTGTTAAATAAAATATCTCCTTTTGAAGTGGACTTTGAACTTTGTAACTTTGCAGATCTTTTTTATGCTCAAACAGCAACATTACAGACTAACTAAAGTTGAAAAAGTGAAAAAGCATAATAGGACCCCTTTAAGATCTTAGTCAGCCCGGTTACCGCTGGTGGACCACCTTGGCTAAACTTGTGGAGATCCATGGTCTAACTAGCAACAAACCAGCTTGACTACCTTAAGCTGGAATGGCCTGTATTTCCAGCTCTTTAGAAACTTTTTTTATTCAAATTTGAATGGCTGAGGACAGCAAATTGCTAAGAAAACCAGCTGTCCAAGACAAAAGACAGAGGAGACGAGGTCACCAGGTCACCATGTAGTGGCAAACTGACAGATTAACATCTTATACTTTCTGATGGTTTTTGCTGAATTAGTCTGCCAATTTTTACATTTTTCTGAAGTTGTTTGACTATTCCCAAAGTCACTGCAAAAGGTGCTACCTTTTGTTCGGTCTCAGCTGGATGGCGTGTAGATGTACCCACGGTACTCAAGTCTTTGATAATGCTAATGATGCACTTTTGAACCTTTGTGTTTGCTCTAATCAAGCTGAGAGGTCCATGTGCAAATCATTATGGGACTAGTTTCCAACCCTTTGAGGGTTTGCCAAGGCATTCAGGAGTTCCCTGCCTCCTGCTGCGAAAGGATACCTTTCCCTGACTCGCATTTTCCATGCTATCCCAACAACACCTCAGATTCTCCAAAACACGTTTACTGTTCCTCAATCTCTGATTCACACACATAACTGAAGGCTTTGTTTGAGAAGTCTGTCCCTGGCTGGTAGCCATAAAGTTTCACAGGCCTGAAGGCTACGGTGCTGTAACTACCATTACGACACAGGAACAAAGACATACAGTGTTCAGTATTCAGGGGCAGCTCACACTGCCTCATGACTTCATCAGAAAAACAGTCTATTAATTCAGGGAAACTATGATGGAAATCCTAGAAGGTGAACATGCAATGCTGGTTTCTTTGATAGCCCTTGGTGATATCAGAGTGTTCATAAATGGGACAGATTTTGGGTAGGATCTAATTTTGATTAAAGTTCACAGGAATGAGAAGCTGCAGAGAGACGGTTATGTGATCAAAGCATAATGGAGTCACCTGAGGCTCATCTGTGTTTTCACTGAACCAGCAGCAACTGTGATCTAACAGAAACACAGCAGGGACTGGTAAAACACTAATAATAAGCAAGCACTAGCGGCTTACAGCTTATTTTTCCAACTTCTCTGGTTTCACTAACCGCACATTGCAACAGAAGTGTGTCTATAGAAAGATAGCACTTCCTATTAGGAATCAGTTATTATGGCTTCCAAAGTAAATGTATTTACTTTCGAGATTAACTGAATATATTTAACACTGTGAAATGTATTTAGTGTACTAAAGGTACAGTAATGCGTTTAGGTGATTTTCAAATGCACATTTGCAAATTTACAAATGCACAAGACTTAAGCTTATAAAGTTTATTTTTTAGGTTAAACATTTTTTTCATCATTTTGAATAAATTGTTTCAGTGGTCATACAGTGTCAAATGTTGTTGTAAAAAAAAAATAATTTTTAATATGAGGTCATGAAAACTGCAAGCACAATAATTATAATACAATTTGGAAATTTTTTTTAAATAGTTCCAGATGTTATACCATTTCAATGTATTATTAAGCTGTTTTGACAGTTTCCAACTGTTAAGGCTCACATATGCTACAAAGTATAACGTTTAACTTATTTCATGCTTATTAATGCTAAAAATATCTTTCAGTTATGGTGAGATGTCACAGCACAGGAATTTACAAACGAACACAGAAGTAGTTTCACACTAACATTATAATTTGAATTAATAGAATGCATTTTTTTCCCAAAAAGGCTTGAAAAAAAATCCATTTACATTTGTGCCTTTTTACATTCTTGTGACAATATGTACTTTCATGATTCGTTTTTTTTTTGGCCTGATTAAATACATTTGTATTGCATTTCTACTGGTACTGTTCATTATACATGTCTGTATTTCAAAACTGTATTATGATGAAATCCCATCCAGAGTTTTCTACTGCTTTCTTTTCTTTTGCATATTAGATGTGCAGTCTCTCTCTCTCTCTCTCTGTTCGTTTTTGGCTGCCACTACTTTCACCCGTTCACAGACTTTTCCATTGCTTACTCTAATCTCAGATACACATTCATCCAGCTGTAAATGAAATACTTAAATTTTCCACCTATTTAAATAAATTAAAGATGACAAGTGCAGACTAGCAGAGTTTCAAAAACAGAAATAAACAAAAACGCAAACACTTTAGAGTGTTTGCATCCACATGAGAGGGCCCCAGTAAATGTCCACGGGTCAACAAAATTATTATAAAACATTAACCCCTGGTTTC